AGCCGAGAAGCGCGTCGTTCCGATAATCAACTTATTGTCCGTGGTAGGCAATTATTATCCTTGCACGCCGGTCGACGCAGGATTAGTTTGCACGTAATCGTTACGGAGCTCCCGTAACGACGTACTGGGCGATAAACGCCACTTCAGTGGCCTACGGTTTTACGCGAAGATATGTTCACGTGCAACGCCGATATTTTGCGAGAGTAAATGTTCCGCGACGACTGATTAGTGGCGCTACGGTAAATTAGAGAGGAGCTCTAAACGCACGTGTTTCTACGCTCGGCTCTATTACAGCGTGCGTAAAGTCGCTTTCGCACAGATTTTAGAATATATAATCACAGTTGCAAGAACAAGACAATGGCTCATTTGAAATAGAAAAAAAAAGATCATTAACAATCACATTTAATATTGTGCATAAAAAATAATTAAGTAAGTCATATAAATTAACAGTTTCACATTTCTTATATTTAAGAAAGATTTTCTTTCCTGATGGAATAAGAATAGATGAGAATAGATGATCAAACAAATCTATATTAGCATATTTCATTTATTGTTATTCACATTACCTGGCCAGATTTCCAGTTTTAATCACAGAAGGACAGTCAGTTTAATATCTAACTGTGGTAATCACTAGTGTGAAATTGGCTTAAGCTGCTAGCTCGCCTAACAACACGAATGGAGCGCGACGCGTCGTCGAAACGCGCGTTTAACCACCGATAACCTCGCGAAGGTACAAGCCCGGCTACTCATGCTCGTATGCGTAACACTTTCGATACCGTTATCACGAGCGCCATTGCTGCGCTTCCTGCCGCCAATCTCTCGGACTCAGAGTTCTTTTATGTCGCGATATGAGCGCGTGAGCGAGCAAGTAAGAAACGCGCGCAAGTCGATTTGCGAGCCGGTCGCTGGAATATAATTATCGACAGGATAAATCAGATCCATTTTTTTACATCAACGTTTAATTAGCATTAGATAGCCGGACAGAACTTTCCGATCAACCAGGCTGGTATTTTAAATTATCACTTCTTGATATTAAGCGAAAATTCTGCTTCACCCGCAAAGCGGATTATATATTGCAACTAAGTACTCCATATTTTTGCATATTCTTTTTTTGAAATTTCTTTAAACTAAGTGGCTTCTCCGAGAATGAAAAAAGTATAGCATTACTTATATAAATATATATATATATATGTGTGTGTATATTATTACATACCATATACTATACTACTTCTCGTATTATTTCAAAATGTATATAAATGTATATATGTATATTATATTACATATACTATATTACATATATTATATTATAATACTATTTTTCGTATTACTTCAAAGTATACATAAATGTATATATGTATGTATTTAAAATAAGAGATTACAATCTCTTACCATTTATATAAACTATACCCACAGGTATACAAAGGTTTCTATATTCAATGTTATTATTTCTAGAATAAAATAAAATCGATATTGAGCCAATTTATTCTCTTCAAAGAAGAATATTTTATTCTTAAATGAAAAATTCTAAAATCTACAATAAAGTATTCTTGATGCTATCCCATTAATTTTCTTAATAGAAAAATACAGGTTAAACATTTAATTCTTCAATATTCTTCCATTTAACATTAAACATCGATCTAAAGGAAATCTTTGATTCTATTCTTGCGGAAAGAAGTTTACAGGATTAGTAATCTTACATTTTTCGATGAAGAACTGAGCTCAGCCGGAACTCGAACTCAAGATCTTTTGTGTTTCTTACTTACCGCTATACCACGAGAGCTTCGTACCATGCTATAGCATCATGTATACCTGTAACAATGGATAGACTTATTTTAAATATAAGAATATATGAACCTAAATTTATATGCATTATACTCATCTCAAGACAAGATGTCGATCTTATTTTATTTGAGGAAGTAAAATAAAAATTATTGATTTAATCTTAATATAATTATAATTTTATAATTATAATTTTATTGTGTACAATTGAGCTAAGATTAAGTATATCAAAAATTTTTTTTTCTTAGTTTTAAAAATTTTTTCTGACAGTGTAACGATCTGTATAAACATACGAGATGTCTTTACATACAGATATAGATACTTATATAGATATGCAAGGCATTCACACAGGTTTAAAATGTTAAAAAAACAAAATGATAATTTTATATGAAATCACTTCGATAAAGCGTCTAGAAATCAATCTCATTACATATCAAAAAACACACACACAGCGGCCGTTTTTTCGTTTACTTCATCGCATTTTTATATCCAGACGTAAACACACCGGTATTTGCTTTGGTGAGACGCAACCGACAAGAGTTGACCGATCTCTCTCGGCGAACAGGTAGTGACGATCTATAGGCGTGCACATAGACGTGTGTACATGTACGTGTAAGTACGCGTAAGTGAATAGACGCAACATTGACGTTTTTCTGAATGAATCTCTGGTGAACCAGTTGAGAATCATTATGCGTGCTTACGAACACCGCCGTTCAATAATAAGACACTGGAGACTTCAACGCCCGCGCAAGGCACGTTGTCACATCGCATGCGCCGTCGTCGCCGCCAAATCTCATCTGGAAATGTCAATAGGTGCTTTCCATTTAATGACGCAAGTCGACACAAGTGCCATTCTATCTTTGTCACTTTTTGAGTGTTAACAATATGATAGAACGACGCTTGTGTCGACTTGTGTCATCAAATAGAAAACACAACAATGACCATCATCGACGTATAGAGCGTATTTTTCAGCAAGGACATAGTAACTTGATAAATCGTTTCATCTTTTTTTGTTGCAAATAACAAGGAAGTGATTCACTGCTTCCTTGCTGGAAAACCCACAATGTGGAACGCCCACAATACTGAGTGGAGCAACATTTTTTGTATCCTTCATCTTGATAGGTCTAGAAAGAGGAAGATAAATATATGGGCACGAAACTCTCTTTCCTTATTATTCTTCTATTGGTCAAATTTTGTTTCAGAAGAGGGAGAACAGTAGTGTATTCTATTCAAATATTATTCCATCTCTTTCTAAGTGTACCAAAATGGTTTCGTTACTATGCTTCGTTCAGTACTATGTCGATGAACACAAGCAGAATAAGATGGATACTGATGAATACTGCACTCAACACAAGCAGAATAAGATGGATACTGAAACGAAGTGCCATAGATTGATCAAGATCTAGACTGCTTTTAATTTATTTAACGATGTTGCATTTACACGTAACGATAATGTTAATAATGTGAACAATAGTTAAATTATTCTTCACGAAAAATTTAGAAGTTCGAAGTAAACAATGCAAATCGGAAATTTTGCAAATACAATGTGTCAGTACATTCTCAGCCATAATCCAATACTTTCATCATATCACTAAATTTATTGATTAACATATACTTCTATTTTTTAGAATTTTTTAAATATATTACAGGTTTGATATATTTAATTTCATATTAATTTATGTAGCAATTTTATTCTGTTACTTAACATTGTGAAAAACGAAAGATAACATATGTAAATTAAATTAATTAGAACTATTCTAAATATGTATGTATATATGTATACATGTGTTTGTGTGTGTGTGTGTGTGTGTGTGTGTGTGTGTGTGTGTGTGTGTGTGTGTATATATATAATTCTGTAAAAAAATCTAAAATCTTATATCTTATCCAATAATTATATAAAAAAGAAACTAGAATACACTTTTAAGTATGCAAAATAAATCTATTGAAATCCACCACATTGTCATTAAGAGCGACATAAAGGCTCGGTCTCTCGAAGTCGACCGGTACAATCCATTTTGTAGGGACAAGCTTTAAGTCTGAAACCAAAAACAAGATCTTTAAAATTTATTTAATCTACGCACAATAGGTCCATTCTTTGTAAATTGATCGTAATCTTTTCTTGGAAATATTCTATTCTTATTCGTCAAGCTATTCTAATTTATGAGAACCATTTACGATAATCGAGAAATCTGTCATCAAGGAAATACAAAGACGAAGCGACCATAGATCCGAGCAAGAATCGGAGGTTTTTGTTTCGTTCGCGCTGAAGAGGCGGGAATGCGCAGATACGATAAGATTATAATGAACCGAGCATGATTTTCGCGCCCTTCACCCCTTCCATTCCAGTACACGTGACAAATGAGTATTTTGCCAAGGAGAACGCACATTTCGCCGATAATAACATGTCGGCAGGTATTCAGAGGGATGTGCGTAATTACGGGTGACGCGACCTACGACAGAATCGCCAGTGGATGCTTCTGCTGAAACGAGCATATGATGTATTCACAACCGCGCGCAACTTTAACCCCTACTCTTGTGAAAAATATATGTAAATTATAAAAATACAATACCTTTCTTTGAATTTACTAAATTGTGTCAACAGAATAATATATTTAATGAATTTGGATGAAGCGTTTTTGTCTTGCGAAAGCAAAAACTTTGCGCAATATTTTTACGTAATAGGTCAAAAAGTGGCGATAATCTAGCATTATAAGAATGTGAAGTATCGAATTTTTTTATTTCTGCGCGTTGTTATTCGAAAAGTAAACTTTGTCTTTGATTCAGATTGAATTATTACACTTCCTCGCGCGTTTTCCGACACGCTTTGTGATCTGCATAAATATGTGGCTAGTGAGCGCGTTTTATCCCGTCAGCGTGAGAGATATACGGCGGAAAGGTGGGCGCGGAAGGCGACTTTACGACTACGCGCGCGCGTCGATAGATACGAAGAACAGAGGAGGGATTTTCTCGGCGAGAATCGGACTTCGATCTGCTTTCACGACGTCAATAGTAGAAAGCCACGCGTAAGTAAACGCGCTCGTCCGGGACCAATCCTTCGTCTAATGCGATGCTGAAAGATGATTCGCTTGGCAGTTAGTTCTGCTGGCGTGTTCGCCGATACAGGATATACTTGTACTTAATTCGCTGCACACAATACGCCGTGGATCATGAAAGTAGAGCTAAGAAATCGATATTTCACCCCTCTCAAAGATCGTCGTTTCTCCCTACTCTTCTTCTATCATTCAAACCTACGCAAGTGTGTGCATAGCCACCCACGCTGTACATAAGCATGCAGAGATCGTGACGATTCCCACGGAAAGAGGCGCGCGGGTTTGAATTATCTTTATCCATGGAAAGCGTTGCGTTCGAGCTATCTCCAAGAAGAAGGTTCAAGCGCAATTCGAAGAATTCAAATTGGTTCAGGTCATTTGGCTCGTACCTTTCAAAATTCTCATCCCAGGAAAAACGCTTGGGCTAGGCTACGAGAGATTAAACGTCGATTGGTCGGATCCACATACGCGCGTCGGAGTCCACGAACGAGGAACGAATCCCTCCCTGAGCAGGGTCGCATCGTGCGACGTAGCCCGAGGCTGTCCTCTCTTGCTGGGTGCCCATTTTTCACGAGGTCTCTCTCTCCCACCTCGTATTCCTCTCTCCTCCCTCTTTCTCTCCCTCCCTTAGACTCCCCGACTTCCCTCTTTTTTTCCTCTTTTAATTCCATGTTCTTTTTCTCCTTTTAATCTCCCTTCGTGTAGCGTAGCCAACGCCCGTTCTCTTCGTCGCTCATGCAACTTCTCTTTTCCTTCTCCTCCCTCCCTCTCTCTCTACTCCCCCCCCTCTCTCTTTCTCTTCATCTCTCCTTCTCTTCATCTCATCATGGACTCACGCATATGCCCTCCTCCTCCATCCTCTCTCCATCTTCGATGTTCTCCCCTCCTTCATGTTCCTTCTTGCTCTTTCAATCCCGAGTCCATCTCCGTTCGCGCAACTACGGCAGCAGCGGCAGCAACTTCGCTCTCTTCGGCATCCGGCGTTCAGCATAGACGTCTCTTATCCGTATAAGAGAGAATCAATCGGACGTACATATATGAACGTACTTCGTCTCAGCGAATCTCTCTCTCGCAGATATCTTTCTCGCAATGGTGGTAGAAAGAAAGGAAGAAGAGACGAAACGAGCTCTCTTCTCCATAAAGAAGAAGCTCTTTTTCTCTCATTCTCTTTCTCTCTCTTTCGTTCATCGCATTCGCCACGTCCGTTCGACGAGAGAGATGAGAGGAGAGCATTTGATGTGTGCGTACGCGCGTCTGCCTTACGATGACTCGGAAAGATGCCTCGATCATCCAAGGCAGACAGTTTCAGGCAGAAGAGGCTTTCTTTATAGCCTGCGTAGAGATAGGTCGAATAAAAAGAGATACTATTGTAAAACAAAAACTTTTATAATAGATAGATGTATCTAAGATATCTTTCCGTCTCATGAGACATCGACTATCATTCGACCAACATCTGTTTAGCGTGTATGTTCGGTGAAATGACTTCACGTCCTTCTGTTAGACATCCCTTTCGGATACGGTTTGTGGTATGTGGATATCCTTCTCAAGGTGGCAAGATAAAGAGCGAGCGTTATAAAATCGAAGCGGGAAGGACAAGGGGAGAGAGAGAAGATGGAAGCGGCGGCCAGGGCTCAGATACGATAATCTTACGTGTGCGTGTCCTCCTTCTCGTTTCTATATCGCGGTCCTCTCTGCGGCTACCCTTCTCAAGGTAGTAAAGCCGAAGCGGGACGGAAACTACAAGAATGAAGTCCGAAGTAAGAAGGACGCCAAGACGCCGCGATAACATACGTCTGCGCGGCCGTCTTTGTTCCGCTTGGACCGCATGTATCCTTCTCAAGTTAGCAACGCGGCTCGAAGCTGAAACCAGCGAGAGAACGAAAAAGAAAGAGAGAGGGAAAGAAAAAGAGGAGGTAGGGAAGGAGAGAAGAAAGAGAGAGACAAGTCAAAAAGACGGTAAAGCTGGACGGAGAGACATGATGATGCACGTGTGCGTACATCTCGATCATCTTCGTTCCTTCCACAGCAATTCTCGGATATCCCTCTCGGCAGGTAGCTGAACAAAGAGGAGGAGATGTAGAAGAAGCAGTACGTTAGAGAGAGACGATTACAGAAACACGATAATGCCGGGTGGCCAGGATCCCGCCTTGTTGATGATTCGATGTTCTGTTTGTATCTGTGTAACACGTCGGGGAGAGATAGTTCCATCCTGGTCACACTCATCTGCGAGAGCTACGAGACTGTCCTTGTTGCTGGCTACCTGTACACCAACCCCACTAGCCTCCTACCTGTACCTATAATATTCATGTGTCTTTCTCTCTCTTTCCCCTTTCTCTCTCTCTCTCTCTCTCTCTCTCTCTCAACAGTGTCTCTTATCCACTTGCACTTTGCCGATCGTCTCACAGCCGACCACTCTCACCGTTCTCCTTGGGAGAGAAAGAAAGAGAGGAACGATGGCTCGCCAGAGGAGCTTGAGGGTCTTCTACCATTCTCTTCATCTTTTCTGTCTTTCTCCATCAGAAGTGGGAGGGCGAAGAAAGAGAAAGAGAAAGAAAAAAACGCAAACGCCGAAGGGAGATAGTCTCTAAGGGAAGGCGTTATGCGCAGGTAAACGCAAGAGCGAGAGTAAGGAGAGGAGGACGAGGGAGGATGGAGCGAGGGAGGATGGAGAGACCGTAGACGGAAAACATGCGAATGGGGACGAGTGGGAGAGAAAAAGAGACAGAGGGGGGAGGGCAGGCGATAGAGAGACGCGCGATCGTGTGTGAGACGCGAATGAAAGGGAGGGGGGGAATTCGAAGCACGGAGCTAACAGCGTGATGCTGGGAGGCGGCAGCGGCGACGGCCATATTGCTGATCTCGAGAGGCGAAAGAACGATCCGAGAGAGCACCGTGAAGCTGCTGGGTTTAGTGGTCCAACCCAAGGTTTTAACGGTTAAAATACTGTTTGTTGCTTCAGGCAAAGTTAGTGAGTACTAGTCTTTTTTATTAAAAACGTTTAAATTCCAAAATCTTTCGTATAGTTCAGTTCGGTTTCTAAGTTTTCAAGTTTCTCAGTGATTGTATGCGACGGTCATCGTTGTCGCGCGCGTGAACGTGCAAGTGTGTGTCAAGCCGGTGCGCGATTATGCGATTGAAAGTACAAACAGGATACGGACAAGTCCCGTAGGATACTAACGCATAAATTTGCAGATCAGCGGTACGCTAAAAGTATCGAAACGAGTACGGAACGACCGAATGTGACACTTGAGACTCGGAGAAATGTTAACGTAATAATGTGCGCGTAGTGAATCGCGATTGTGACATCAGGTGAACAGGCGACGCGATCAAAGGAGAGTTTCTTACCGAAATATTTCGCAGAACAACCAATAGCTTCACCGGTCAAGAACGAGAGTCAACCAAGAGGATAACTGCGGGCCCCCAAAGAAGGGTGCCCTGGAAAGAAGAATAGTCCCAACGTCAGCGAATTCGTTAAGACGACAGACGCCTCGGTCTATGGAGAAGGTGGTGACACTATCATCCATTGAGATGTGATCCAGAACATAGGAGGGACACTTAGTAGTTTGTAGTTGGTCCCCATCTCCCCCCTCTATTACCCCATTACCCCACTAGCCCCTTCGTGACTTCTACCACCTACTCTACCTTCCCCTCTCCCCTCGTACACATGCACGTGTGATAATCCACTTCACCGGTAAAGCAACCACCGGATCAGCAGCTTCTCTCGAATACGCCGGCTACTCTACCGCTCAACGACACTTCTCCCTCCCTTTTAATACGATCTTAATGAGTAAGTATTATCTTCACATCGTCATCAGTTTTATTACGATAGTCTAGGCCTTACTACAGCGCGCGCATCTTTGTCAATAGCTGGAGGCTACCTGCGCGATGACGCACAGGTGACGTGCAGGTGACCTACCGGTGAACAAGTGGACGCGAAGAATCATAGACCATGAGGTTACCGCACTGATATTCTGCCAGCAAAATGCTTCGTATTTTCTTTTTGATTTCTTTGAGTCGTTTATCAATATTTTAACGTATTGTTACCTTTTATAATATGTGATACACTGATATGGCTATCAGAACCATTTGTAGATGGATAAACTTTTTTTATTTGAGATGTTTCATAAAATGTAAAAATATATATATGTGGAATTACATGTAGTTATGCTAATTTTGTATATAGAAAGATTTACAGAGACAAATGATTTTTTTTTTTACAATAATACAACTCCGTCTTATTTCATGTACCCAAATTTAAATATAAATTAATAATCAAAACTAATAGTTTAAATTAATAGTTAGAATTAACGGAAAAATATATATAGACATACTCATCGCTAAAAATATAATCAGAACTAGTTATACTCTTTTCATTTAATTTTTCTTTACTTTGATATGAATGCACGTGGTATATACGTCACATTCAAAGTGTTAAATTTAATAAATGTATACATTCACTACAGCACAAACTATAGTAAATATATACACTTATTGAGTTAACACTTTGACTGTGACACATACACATAGATATTTAAATACACAATACATAGATATTTAAAGAATTGTTGTCGCATTACCTTTTTTCTCAAAGATATTCTAATCTTTTCTCAAAGATAATCGGATATACTAAAACTTACTAAGGATAAAAACATTACGAGAATTTTAGGTATGAATGAAGCCTTAAATTTTAGGAAAAAATCTAAAAACTTTTCAGTTATTTAAAATCCATATTTCATGGCTCCATTGAAGGCGGAGGTCAAAGTCGATGACAAAGATACAAAACGAGCAAATAATAGACCAATAATAGATCATCATTCTCGCTCGAGCATAGAAAAAGCTGCAGTTACGGTATACCACAGACAAAGAAATATTCTTTAGTGTTACGTTAAGTTCTATTCAGGAAACTTAACGAAAAAAAATTCAGAGTCAACATAATTCGGATTTAGTTAGAATTATAATCCTTGATTAATAACAAAAAGCGCGAACGAGAAATGTTACAGCATCATTACAAGGATCTAAGATCAATAATTTAACTGTATTTTAAATCGAACTGCAAAAAGATAGTCAACAAATACAAGAGTATTGTCAGTAGTAAGTTATCAGACTATGGCAACTCAATAAAATAGATATAAGAACTTAAATGCCACTAATCTTAGTCCTAACATGAATCAATCATTTATGCCGCGTAAAAAAACCACGGATCCGAGAGCAAGCAATCACTCACTTTAAAAACAAATAGATACGATTAATAAAGCCGGAGAAAAAAAATCGCGCCTCTTTGTCACGGTCAACATCTAACTGAATACCATAAGAGCGTTAGGAAATTATAAACATATCCTGACGTCATCCGTACTCAAAGGGAATCACCTGGGAACTCTCACTAGATCTCAAGAAATTCACTCTCGATACACTTAACGGCAATTCCGCCGTTACAGCTGCATGCCATGCTGGATTCTAACCGACCAAATCGCGGTCGGCACGATTGCAACACCGCGATGCACACCGGCGCGATGGTAGGTCTAGAATCTATATCGGCGGCAGGTGTAACGCACGATCAAGGCGTCTAGTCGCTGATAGACACATCGCCTTCGCGCGACGCGTTGACGGAAGAAGACGCTTCCTCCTCTTTGTACGACTCGACGGAGTCCTCCGTTCTCCAGAGGCATCGTCCACTGACGCGAAGCGAGGGCGTACAGGTACTTGAAATACAAACGGACCCACGGTGGTGGGTCCAATCTGATGCAGGGTTCCCTTTGAGAATCAGGTTAGACCGGCTCCTCTGAACCTGCTTCTCTGGCTTCTCGTCTCCGGTTCGCGGTTGTATACCGGCCCAGTACGTACCTACTCCTTCTCCCTGGGTCGCCCCAATCTCCTTCTTCCGCGTAGTAGGTAGATACCTACCTACCTACTTTCCGCCGCCACCCTCTTCGACTTATCTCTGTTCCTCTTGGTTTCTCTCTTTCTCTTTCTAACAACCAGTCTTGTTCCTTCCTCGCGAACATCACCGCGTCTCCATTATTGACGACGCGCAGTCTAAGAAAGAGAAAGAAACAGAAAAGAGGAAAGAGAAAGATACTGAGAACCGGCACTGGCACCGGCACCGGCACCGTCCCGTGTGTTCACTCTCGATGGTCCGGCTTCCTCGTTACGTCTATTATTATACCTGTCTATCCGTCAGAGCGGTGCCCGCGAGCTGAATTCCAGTTTTACGCGCGCGCCCTCCTCCACGCGCGCGCTCACACGCGCCTACTCCGCCGTAGTAGTAGGAGCAGATGGACGAGTCGGAGAGAAGAGCAAACCGACTGGTTTTGCTAACCATCCACCTGGGCAAGACCGCGCGCGAGGATGTAGAATTCGCGGTGTCAGACTGGTTGACCGACATCCGCGCGGATCCTTGCCCCGGCGATAAGTGAATAACGCCGAACCTGCTCGCTCACTCACAGGTTCCGGTTTCCCAATCGCGGGAGTACGCATCCCGCGTGCGTCAAGCTTCTCCTCCTCCCGCGGGCCACGTGGCGAAACCGAGACGTGGATTCTCCAGTTCCGACATCCACTTGTTGTGCGGAGAAAACATGGGATTACCTGTTTGCATCTTCCTGATAATCGCTGATTGCCCTGATTGCCGATTCATCTTGTTTTTCATAGTTATTAAATACGCATTAGATTAGATTACTTATAATACGGTGAATAGACCAAATGTGTATTTGTAAGGAGTCATCAATATAATAGCTATAAATTATTTTAAGAAGATAACAATGTCAATAATCTTACAAGCATCTTTTTTCCTTTTTGTTTCTTACAGATTTTTATCGCCCGCTTTTCTTCAAATAACGTGCCATACAACCCTCAGCAACCTGTGATATAATACTCGATGACTAATTTACATAGACGTAGACATCTAGTCGAAGACTAGATCAGGCTGAAGGTTTCGTCGTCAAAAGAAAACTGCAATTCCTAAAGACAACGACAATTTAGCCTATCAGAACAAGCATTTAAGCATTTTAAGCACGAGAATTTTAGAAGATTACAGTACGAGAAGAGAAAAAAGAAACGGGAGACGGCACCGGAGAATGTCGACGTGCACCGACGAGGCCGATAATGCACCCTGCACTCTGTCTCCGGTTAGTACCAACTCTCATACTTTCGAATAATAAAATCTAATGCCGCATATTTTTGCATGGCTACTATTAAATTGAATTATCTGATTGTGAAAACTGCATTTCCTTAAAACAACAGAATAAGCTTAATACAAACATTTTATTTTTGTGACGCAAATGATGGCGAATAATTAAACTTTCTATCTCCTAATATTTAGTTTATTAATTATATTGTAAACTCTCTATTTCTATTCCAATGGACTTTTAAAAGAATTCGAAGAATATATAATGATTGTTTACTTCTATATTACGCAAACTCAAGGAATACAATAACATTTCTAAGCTAAAACATTTACATAATATAATCCACCACATAGTTTATCGTTTATGTAAATTATCTACCTGTTTCCTTTTTCTTTTTTTCTTCTTTTTATTGTTCATTCACTCATACCTTTCTCCATTTATTCAAACAACCACCCGTAGCGCAAAATAATGAGGATGGACTGAAGTATTATTACTGGTCATGAAAAGAATTTCTGGAACATTTCTGAGATGTCAAGATTTTAAAATAAGTTACAAGTCTGTGCGTACACAAAAGCATAATCTGTCAAGTCTGTTTTAATGTTAAATGACAAAGCATTTATGAATTTTCAATTTTGATGGTAAAAGAGGCGAAATCCTTGGAAATAATGAACCTTGAAAATAATATAGCTCAAAGATAAATATAGCTGACGTTATTTATGTTTTATCGTCAAAATGACGTCTTTATAGTGTCATTTATGACAAATAACGTCAGTTTGCTACCTGGGAAAGAATCGGTTTTATAAAACTACGACAGTTCAGAGTTTAAAAAATTTTTCTTTTAAGAAAGAAGAAATTCTTTTTAAAAGAAATACTACTAAATCGAATGTGCTAAAATATTTATATTTTATTATTCACTTTATTTATTTTAATGGCGGAAATTTTTGTTATATCTAACGTTTCATTAATAGTCGAAATCTTTTATATTTTAAATTTTTCACATAGAAATCTATTGAACAATTGTTTCAATAGAATTTTTATTAGAAATTTTACTTTCAATTGTGATATTCACTAAACTCATTTCCGATGTAATAATAAGGCAATCTTCAAGAGCAAAGAAATGTGTGTGCTTTCATGAAAATTTAATTCAAATCGCCGCGGGTAGCTTCGGATTTTTGTAGCTTCAAAGAGGCTCATTGCTCGAAAGTGAAATGCATTGATCAGCCCCGTTACTCGCAATACGAAACATGAGTATAAGCCATTCTCCAAGAACATTAATAGCTCGACGGTTTATGGATAAATCGCCTCGGGCTTATTATGGACCCATTTTGCCTACTGCGCGCGATTCGCGACCTCTATAAAATGGGTTGAATGTTTCAAGATCAAAGAGCTTCTTGTTTTATTTGACAATAAAAAGAATATAAAGGGAACGATCGACAACACGACAACTTAAAAATTGATGAAGAAAACGAAACTTTTTTATTTTTTTTTTTTCTCCTTCACTGTAATAACATCATAATTATAGATCAACATAATTATCATTATTATATGAATATAAGTAGCACAATATTAAAAAATCCGAAAATGTTTTGCAATAAGATTAAACGTTTAAACGAGGAAAAATTTTAAGTGAGAAAAATCACGAGGTGATTTTATTTAAAATATCATCGGCGAACATTGTAACAAAGACTAATAAGAAAAAGTCATTTGCATTTTACTCTGCTTAAGCGTTGCGTGCAAACACGCGTGCATAAATCTCATGAAAAGACGAAAATAAGGACTCGTTTCGCACCTGCGTCTGGCGCCTTTTAATACGCGGTTAAATCCGTTTATGACAAGCATCGCGGTGCATACCGGGTGTTCAAGTAGCCGTGTAAATATTATCGCGCTTCCGGATCGAGAAAGAGAACACTCGTGCGCTTCTTCATCGGAACGTGGACAGTCGCGTCCGGTTTTCGTTATTGTAAACGTTGATATCCTTACGAGACTTCGACATTCTCAGATGTAGAAACGAACGATACGTTAATCGTTCATCCGTCTCTTCGTATATACGAAGGGGATCCACCTATCTACCTGTGGACAGGACTGAACGAAGAGATTCGCTGTGCACGGTGATGACTCTTCAGATTTCTCGTACCTGATGGTCAAACGAAGGGAACCTTCGTCGATGATCGCACCGTTCATTATGGAGATAAGAAGTAAAGGCTCTTTAATAGAATTCCGAGCGACTGGTCATTTTGTATCTTCATTAACTTTTTCGTTAACCGATTCATTATTGGGCGGTAGGTAAAAGAAAAAAAAAAGACAAGGCGAGTCCCTGTAATTCGTGCACGCAAATCTTTTCTTGATTCAAATGACTCATACCGACTATAAAAACGAGATTGAAAGCGTGTAAGAAAAATGTATCGAAAATAAGCATGTACATTGGCGCGACGCCAAAATATTTTACTTACGAAACAAACTCGCGGCAAAAAGGGGAGAGCTTGATGAGTGGATGATAAGCGATAATAAATAACGATGACGTTAATTAAATAAGCCATTCGATGTGAGTGCAAGATTAATAAATTCAAACCAGATTTTAATCAAAAGTTCACATTTTGTACCAGAAATTACGAAATATTTAATATCTAGTTAGCTGCGGTAATGTTATTCGAGCTGCGTCATTGCGCGATTATTGAAGGCAATGCATATAAACAAGCTATTAAATATTCGATGAACAGTGATGCAAAAGAAATTTCACTAGAATCACAATCGTTGCAATTTTTGCCGCAATTAACGCATTCAAGTTAAGACTAACGTTTCTTACGACTAAGAGCATTAACCACATAAAGCGATGAAAAAAAAAAAAGTTGCTTTACGAGCCGTTATTTAGATGCACGATAGTATATAAAAAGACGCTACATAATTTGCAGCTCAAGGCTCGAAATTCCTAATTTACATTTATCGTTTAAGGAAGGAAAATATCTTATGAGATTATTAGATTTTTAATTCATTCCGATTTCATCAAGTTTCATTTACTTGACTTAATTCAGTTAACGGTTAATGAAATCGTGGCTTCCTTTACAAGTCGAAGACTAATAGACACCGGCAATCCTCGCTGGAAGTAATATACGAGCGATAATGTTTACGATAATAAAAAGCGAATCGCGAGGATATTCCGACTGTTACGGCAAACGGACGAGGATCATACCCTTAAGATACGTACAGTACCGCGAAAGAAAAGCATCTAACGATTCCACGTATCTACATCCGCGTTGCACGCAACTGCGTACTGCAGTTGTCGCGATCGGCAATAACTGCACGTTGCAAGGGGGATGTACGCGCGCGATTCGCAGCCTACGGCGACAAACGAGTAAGAAACGAGAGAGAGAGAGAGAGAGAGACGTTCGAATACCCGCGAGTTTTAGCCATGGACGGACGGACCATTCGACCGACAGACACGTTGGACTACTGTCCGGCACGAACTCTTACGAGCGCAGATCAACCGGCCAATTAACTGTTATTATGAAGAACTTCTTGCGTGTAAAGAAGACGCGCAGCATTCTAAACGAGCTGCAGCGCGACAACAATCCGTAGGATTCATGGTAGTCATTTCGAGCTATTCGCGAAATCGCGATCGTTCGTCTTGTTCAGAAGTTTTGTCGCGATTTGACAACGTTCGAACGATACGTGAGGATGGTTGTTTTTATTTCTGTGAAATAAATTTAACGATTATAATGTTTTTCGTTGTTATTAAAGGATGATAAAAAGCTGTTTTTCCACATTTTGCAAACTGAGTTCAATAAACTCAGACTTATTGTTGAACTCATCGGATTAGATGGTACTTTTAAGATAAGTGAGGCATCTTTCAGGTACACTTTTTTTTAAATCTTATTCTAGGAGAGGAAAACAAAAAGTATCGATCAGATGCCTAGAAATAAATAAGTTATTTTTACATTCCTCTATCTCTCATGAAAGATAACTAAGAAATTTAACTATACCAGTAAATAAATACTATTATATACTAATAAAAAATAACTATTAAATTAATTTTTTTGGATATTCTAAATATTCTACATACAAAAACTTAAGTATCTTATCATCTATCTACTTAACCCGAGAATTATTCTAATACTTTTCATTTAAAGGATCACTTGAAGTGTGTTTTCACATCCCAATTAAAATATATAATTATTAACAACATATTAATGATTTATTATTTCGATTTATTAGTATTTGGGAATATTATGGATATAGATTTAATCAGAATTTTCTGAAAAAAGTAAATAAAAAAAACATTAAAAGAAGAAAAAATGCTAAAATATTGCGAAACAAATCTTACTTACGACGTTTTCTAATTATTAGTTACAAAAAAATTTGATCGTGATAACAAAATATATATTTGTGCAAAATATATCCCATTAATTGTAAAAAAAATTAAATAGATGACTTATTTGATAAGAATAAAATTCTATTTCACCGTATTTAAATAAAGATTTATTAATGAAATAAATACATTTCTCACACAAAAATATTTAAGTATATTTTTCTTACTACAGGTGGCTATTCCAGGTTAAAGATTAATAGTATTGTCTAAAACAAATAAATCATCTTTAATAGATTATTTTAATTTACACGCTACAAGATGCAGATTAGATCAACGGATTCTAGTAATGACAGATTAAACATTAGTCGAAAAATAAATACGGTGATAATCTACCGCAAGATAACAGCGGGATCATAAAAGATACTTTTAAGCTGATACTTTATCGCTCACTGCCATTTACATCCCCGTTGTCAGTTATTCGTATGAAAAACGAATAAATCCATACGCGGTTCCTGTGGATCACCGTTGAACCGGCTATGTTCGATCCCGCTGGCCGTGCGAGCGCGATAAATTTCATCGACTGACGTGGGATTAGATTTCGAATGAAGTCGGTACACGGCCGGGTATTCGTATTGCAGAGTACTTAACGTCGTGTAACGACCGCGGGAGGTTCATGTCGCGGTCGCGACTCACCGCGGGTCGGGCTGATTAATGTCTCCAGCCGGCGTATCTGGGACCCCTGACACCGCCGATGAAGCGTGTCGCGGCGGTGCGATGTCAAGGATACAGTACCTCAGTAGCTCGACGACTTTAGGTAATGAATCTGCGGAGATTTCCTAACGACATCGGAGGGAATTATGAGGAAACGCGTGTTGCAGCGGTCAAAATTCACGAAACCGCAAAACCGCTTGCGGCGATATGACGTTTTTATAATATCCGTGCGATTACCGTTACATCAGGACCGTTTCATCCGCTAGACGTTCACGACACAATGCCTGATATCTACGAGCTATGATTGGAAAAGCTATAAAAAATTTACTGGCACAGTAAAAGATGAAAATAAAATTGAGTTATGTACGAGTTCCTCGCGTTTCTGCATGATTTTAACATAACGTCAGTATTTTGAAAAGAATTAGCTATTAATAAAACATAAAGTGGTCATATATATGTTCCCTGTTTAATATTAGCTGTTTATTTATGTAAAAAATAAAAGTGCATATCCGGAAAGAACGGATTTGTTAAAATATCTAAAAATTTAGTTAGTTTGATACACACCTGAAAATAATTTTGTTGAATTAGCAAAATAATTAGCAGGAAGCACAAGTTAATTACTAGAATATCACAATTTTTTGTAACATTAGTCATCATGTTAAGTTTCCTATTAAGTTTCATAATTATTTTAGACCGACAAAAATATTTTCTAATCTGTATCTAATTAAATTTTTTAATACTTCAGTAAAATTTTTCTTTCTCTCTCTCCATGTATCTGTCGATATTGATGCCAAAGATACAAAATGTTTATACAACATCTGTAATAACAATACCTACGTAATCGGAATTAACATTATAACGACGCGTTTAATTTAGAATTATATATATATATAAACGTAGAGGAGAGGCCTCTGAAAATAAAATCATACTGTGCGTAAAAAGCAGGCAAAAGGCGTGAAATTACGATGTTATTAATAATAAGTTTGTCAGGCATGTATGCCAGAAAGTCATAATCATGAAATAAACATTGTTACCTTAGCTCATGGAGACACGTGTGGTCTATTCAGAGGCTCGCGTTTGTCCATTAACAATTTTACCCGTACCTACCGACCGTATTTCATCGCGCTAATCCTCGCGTTTAATCGTAGAATCGCGATTATTCATCAGCGGGTGAATTTACGACGGTCAACGCGAGAAAATATAAGAACCGGTGACACTTAGGATTAAGTCCCGCGCACCGTAGAAAATGAATAAAGGAGGAAAAAGTATACTTTCCGAAGAGACGAAGAGACAGAGAAAGAGAGAAAAAGTAAATTTTTGCGTTTAGGCTAACGGCGTGAGTAATTCACGTACAGCATCACGCGCGAGGCGCCTGAGCACTAAGAGGATGATTCATAATATTGTTAATTATGTTAATTGACGGAACCCATCGCTGCGGCTACGGGCTGCTGCAATATGCACGGGCCTTAATAGCACTGCCACGTCGCTTTGCTGTCACGTTACGAATGATGCCACGGTGACTGTGTGGCATCGGGCAGCTCTCGAGGTCTCGGAGGTTTTGCCAGGAAAAAAAGATTTAAAAAAAAAAAGAGGAGGAGAAAGAGAAGGAAAGAGAGAGACTTCGCGTCATAACTTATCGGCTAGAAAGTACGATAATCCGGCGACACGTGGGAAATTCCAAACGACGTCATTACTGTACCGTATTCTTATTCATGCGGGTCACAGGGGTTTCCATGAGCGCCAACTTCGGGAATACTAGGATATAAGTGCATCAGTAATGCGACCGTCACCGTTTAACTGACCATTAAGTATACTTACGTAGGATATCTGTTCTACGCGTATAATATATTTTCAGTAATAGTAGTTCCAGTAAAATCTCAGAAGAGACTTCCCTTCGCGCGATACTCAATCTCTAAAACTTTTGATTTGCAAAGATTGTCTCATGAATAATTTTGCAATTTTGTCAGGCATCCATCAACGACGGATGGGAAAATATCTCTCAAAAGTTGAAATCTTATCTCATCAAATGTTATCATCTTCGCGAAATAAATACGTTGAATATTTTCATTCGCAGAAGAAAATGAAATTATCTAATGTCACTATTTCCCGATGTGAAAATGTATCATGTAATCTTTGGAGGGGGAGGGCAATATAAATCATAACAAATAAAACGCTAATGAAAGCAATTAATTAATGCCGACGATGTCGCGCGAAAATAAATCACCGACTTCTCAGAAATGAAAGCTGAGGCAATCCTTCCTGAATTTCGCGACAAAAATGACCAACAGCCTCGCGATCGTCACACGATGAGTCGCGAATGGACCTAGATCGCGCTAATGGTCGTTTGATCTTTGAATACTCTGAAAGAATTTCTTGGTGCGTGTATTACAAGCAATGAACATACGAGCGATTAATTACGACGAAAGGATGCCTGGTCATATGAAACGCCTCGTGCTTCGGACCGCGCGAGAAGATATTAATATAATTTCTATCGCGCACACAGTTATTAGCATTCGAAAATATTATAGGTTATTGCAACATACATATAGCGTTACCCGGAGTTGCCCGGGACGCCGGGAGTTCGCTCGGGCGTATATAAATCCCAATGTCGTAAACCGCGCGCCAGTTAATGCGATTAATAAATTAACGCCGGCTGCGCGCTGTGTTTTAACTTCGTTATCATTGTAAATGATTTAATTCAGACCTGCATGTGCATATGGGCGGCGACCGATGGCGAACGCGCCGTTTCGGTAGGAAGAAAAAAACGAGGCGCGATCAGAGCATTGTGTGCGCAAAGATCAAGGTATCTCGTTAATACTCGATAAAATGCAATCACAATACCTTCGCTCGATTATAAGAGATAATTTCACAATGGCGTTCGTTTCTTCAACTTTAATTCGGCGTGATAAAAAATGATATTATAAATACATCTGGTGTGATAGCGAAATCGTTATATACGATCACTAGTAGTACGCAGTATATTGAAATATCTTGATCAACAATCGCGATGCCAAAAAATCTATTCGACAAATAAAAATGGCGATTTTTATTGCAATTGTTGCGACACACACTGCATGACCCTACCTATCTACAGGTCCCCATCTATCTTACAGGTGCAGGAGGCACCAGTCTCACCAGCGTCCTCCTCTCTGAGCAACCAAAATCAAAACGAGAACGAGCAGGTCTTGCTGGCGACTATGCAACCAGTAAACGTGCTCGATCTGCACGAACCGCCGGCCGTGCATACGCTCCATCCCAAGTACCACCATCACCATCATCGTCACCATCACCATCATCATCATCATCATCATCATCACCAGCAGCAGCAACAACACATTCAGGGCAACGATTCGGAAGACGTACAGCAGCGCGCCGCAGCTGCGGACGACTCTGACGGGCGCGTGTCGCCTGATGTTGATGGACGCAGCCGGGCCAAAGGAAGGCATGTATACCCACGACAAAGAGATCATTTACGAAAATGAGCACGCGGACCGCGTGCAGGTGGTCGAATACCCGCCACCACCGCCGTCGCCGCCGTCACCATCGCCACCCTCGGCCGGTGTCACGAGGACGACAGGTCTGTTGCCACCGTCCTGCGTCACACCGAGGTCCGCTGCCACGTCCGCCGCCGCTACTGCCCTGCATCTGCATCACTATCCGCAGCTGCAGCTGCAACACGAGGACGATCTGCCGCCGACGGTGCGCCACGCCGTCAACGCGACCGTGCCGAATGGCGGTGCCGCGACAACCACAACGACGGTTCTTGTGCTGCAGGAGCTCGTCGCGACCGATCCGGCCGCCGCCGGTGCAGCTGCAGCCGCACAACAACTGACACTTACCGCCGCCGCCGCCGCTGCAGCATCGTTTCGCGCTGGGTAAGTCAAGTTTTTCCGTTACGTTTCGCAAATCGCGAATTTTCCTCGTATCCGCTCAACCAGTTGGCGCTCTTTATCATACCTTATTCTCTTTGTCAGTCGATTCAGATGATTAGATAACCTTCGAAATGAATACTGTTCTTATAAATGAAAAAGTATACACCTGCATCTGTATTGATTCAGCGAAATCATTAAATATTTATATCGTAATGTTAAATAACAGATTATTAATTTGGTTGAGGAATTAATCGAAATGATGCATAAACAAAAGTCCTTATCTAACAGAAAAGATCAGCGTATGTATGCGAATAATAATAGTCCTTATCTAACGGGAGCAAGAATTTTCGTATTACATATCATCTCGTAGTCTGATTTAATCACTACGAGTGTTCGCGAATATTTCTTGGATAATCGTATTATTATAATGCGACCGAGTATTAGGTATATGTTTACGTCGCAAATCCCACGCGCATATTTCACATATAATTAAATCTATCCTGACCATGTCACAGTCGAATGACGTTGTATTCGAGACAGGTTGTAATTCATCCTTTCTCTGATTATTGACTCACAATGCCTCTTGCGGTTTGTCCTATCCGCACAGCAGATGCGACCGCAACGTTACAAACGAAATGTGCGGACACGAAATACTGCAGTGAGAACTTCGATATTAATGTTTTTCATGAACAGGTATCTCCAGTATTTTCACGAAGTATGTCAAAAAATATATATTGCTATGTGCATTCGCACATGAGATTATGAATATATACATTACATTGCGGCATAAACTGATTAATATCGTGTCGTTGGTTGGTGCTATAAAGATAACAGTAAGTAAAAAAGATTAATGAGAATGAATCACGTTTGTTTGTAACGTTAGACGTCTTACGAAAGACATTGGGAGAAAAAGGCGTGATTGCGGATACGCGCATACTTTCCTCCTATCGAGATTGCCTGGAGATATTCAAAGTGATAATATATTAAAACGAGAGGACCCGAAGACGCGGCAAAGGTCATAACGAAAAAAAATGGAAGAATAAGCTAAATGTCAGCTTCGGAGCTTGTTACAGGCTCACAAATGAACATAAAGGATTCAGTGCTTCGTTAGCGCGCGTATTTACGACCGAAACGAGAGTAATAATTGCGAACTTTTACGAGTTACGCGAAGCAATTCTATCCCCTTCGCAAAGGAACTAGGTACTCGAAGGTCGAAAACTTACAGATGTAATTCATCCAATTTATTCTTGAAAAAATTACCTTGTAACTAGATTACGTCAATCGAGATTAAATCAATATTTACTCAGTGGCAGCCAACAATAAGATTATTTTTTTCCAGAAGTTATACGGATAAATCATGGACGATCTGATAAAGCCAATGACGTCTGTATATAAAAAAAAAACATCTCGATAAATAACGATCAATGATTTGTCTTTTTATTATTATCAAATTATGGCAGACTATTTATACCGACGGTAGCGTAGACGTCACAGAAAGAATTGGAATGGAAGTATATAGCGCTCGAGGAGCGGAGCGCTATCTGGCGCACGTATCAGCGTCGACAATTAACAATCATTGCGCGCACTTAGCCGCGAGCTAATGCGGATAAGTCACGTTGCTATATAGAATTTATTATTACGACGAAGACTACCATCTCGCGCGTGTGTGCGAGTTACGCGCGCCGGCGCGCCGTTCTCCGCACGCGGAGAGTATCGGCGAGCCAATAACCATTAACCACGCACGCACACCGGCGTGCGCCACCTTGCACTTTTGTAATAAATAAAAATCAACTGCAATTAATCGGCGTGAGATATGCACGCGGGAGAGACCTTGGATGCCACGAAAGAAAAACCGCGCCACTTCTCCGCGACCGCTTATTTTATTTTTTTTTTCGTTCACCCCGTTATTACGAAGCGAGCGCGCTGCTGCCCGCCGAATTCCCGCCATTTCGAGTGAGACTCCTTCTCGCCGGTCCGTTCACCAAACAAACGGCCGCTGTTTTCTCCTTTCCTTTTTTTTTCTTTTTTTTTTCATCTTTCTCGCTTCGTCTCCTTTCCATTTTTCGTCGGAATATATGGTTGGACGTGTATACAGATTGATATATTCGGTCGACTCATTCCTGAGAAATAGCGACTGCCTCTCTCACTAAGAAGTGCCTCCATAGTGATCTTCAAAAATTCAAGTTCCCTTTCACTTCGCACCTTCAGACGCGTCACCGTGAGTTTCGACAATAATCAAGATGTAACAGAAAGAGAAAAAGGCAACCTTTGAAGAGATCTCATCATATATACAATTCACTTGCGTTTTCGAATGATTTTTTTCTTCCGCGATATCGATGAATTGACGTAATCAAAAATAGTTAATGTGTTAAATTTGTAAAATTTAAATATTACTCGGGCTTTCGAAATTAGAAACTATAATAAAGTATATCGGGCAATGAAAGCGTCAACACAGCACGGAAATTAATGCGCAATATAATATAATTATCTAATAATGTTTACATAATATATAAATTATTGTCGGTCCCACCTTATTTGAACGTTTCAGTTTTCTCCAAACAAATCTATCTTCAGCAAATTCGTAGATATTAAATGTCTTGATAAAATATTGCGACGATGTTGAAATTAAACTCTATGTGAGATTAAGGATGAGCATATCCTTATTGTCTAATTGGGAGTTGCGGAAATTCGTCTCTTCGTTGTTAAACCAAGTGACTAACCTCCGTCTCCATTGATCACAATTCGTTATTCCAAATGTAATAGTCTGTAAAATGTAAAAGTCAAAATATAAAATGGAACGATGACAAGAAATAAAAGATTCAGACTTTTACATTGAGTATACGATATCAAGATAAAAGTTAGTCTGTTAAACCGTTACTAGACTTTTTTTTAATTAGAAAATATATCTGTTGTTGCTATTGTTATAGTTGTCAAGAAACGAGATTTTTCAGAAGCGTATTTTTATAACAATACTGTATCTCGCTCTTCTTCAAGTAACGCAATAAATAATTGATAATAAATAATTTCTTGCGTAACAAAGAAAATACTCCGAGTTGAACTCTTTCGTTCTCGTGATCGAATGAGACGAGTAAAAAAAGCCCCTAGAGGGCTTCTCTGCTATTCTCTTTTGTCTAGTCCTCCATGATCAGAACGCGGCGGACAAAAAACAATCCCTCGTATTCTCTTAATCTCTTTCTGTTGGTCGTCCAAGTCTTAGGAATGAAGAGAGAGAAAACGAGTACCAGGAGAAGAAGGGAGCCATCCCTTTCCGTTCACCCATGGCCTCAAGAAGGAAGTAAGAAAACAAGTTTCTCGCACGAATTCTTACTTCTTTTTATTTAATTTGCACAGGATTAACTGTTTATAGTTTGCGTCCACAGTGTATTTTTCGTAAAACACTTGTAAGTGGGAAAAAATATATATCTCTTATCATTGAAATATATATTGTAAAAGTAAGATTATAATACGGGAATAATTCGTGTTAACGGAACGACGGAACATTCGATGTTTTCTGTCTAAGCACCTTAGCTAAAGATCGAGTCAAAGGAACTGGTTAAGTTGACATGCGTGGGTGTGTGATATGAATGAGTATATATGACAGGTGATGCGTGTTATTGATATAAATGTTCAAGAAAAGCGCAGTGTATTTAAATCCGTACACAACGTTCATACGACAGTTCAGTATACTCACATTTAACGTTTCTTCGCTATTTCTATTCGGATTTGTATAAAAATCTACCGAGACGTGAGAGAATTCGATAAAACTATCATCTCTATGCTGGAAACGTATATATAAAGTAGCTTTATGAACATATTTAAAATTTATATTTAAATAAATAAGTATATAATACAATATAATAAATATATAAAGAATAAATAAAAATAAAATATACAATAAGTTATGGATGCACTGAAAAAAAAAGTCCTAAATTTAAATAAATATTTATTTGAATGCCAATTAAATATTTAATTAACGATAAACAAATATTTACTTAATAAAAAGAAGTAATTGTTGAATAAAATTAATGTTTTTTGTACCAAATAAATATATTTTTATATTTAATAAATATTTAATTGACACTATTCAAATAAATGTTTATTTAAATTTAAGATATTTTTTTCTCAGTGTAAAAATAAAAAAAAAGAGATAGATCGCTTGCGGCAAATTCCTTTGTCTGACATTATTAAATATTCAGCGGAACTTAATTCTTTAATTTCGAAACAAAATGTAAAGTGATTATTTCGTCATGAATGAACAGAGCAAGACGTAAATCGATAATTGCAGTCCATATATATGTCCTATAATTGTCAGCGTGTAAAATGGAAACGATCTGCTTCTTTCCTCGATTCGTTCGTCCTTTTAATTCAAGTTCCTTTCACGAGAAGATTATCCGTCAGGACGGATTGATCCATCTTAAATTGAGAACCTGTCTCGGATTTCGCCGTCGGGCGAGCAACCGCGAACGAGTTTAAGCCGTGGAATAAGTAGCTTAAAGGGAGCGCGGGGTGAAACGGATCTCGCTTTCGACAAGTTCCAAATCGACCGACTGAGTTTTATCCTGACGAGTTTTATCGCGTGCTCATCTCGTACTTATAGTAAATATACTTGCGAACGTTTTAATCGGATTGTGGAAGGGAGCATATTTCCTCAATAAAACACGCATTTCATCGAAATTTCAAATTGCATGTTATTCGCATACAAAAATAACGTAACTATAAATAAATCATTGAAAGTCAATGAACGACGAAGAAAATATTTTTCTAATAATAATTATAGCTGACGACTGATGTAAAAAAATGTCGTGAATTACTATATCAGTGACAGGAGGAAGAAATGTTGTTATTTCACGTGTACTTAATTTATAGTCCATTTCCTGCCACCCTATCTTGCGCAACGCGATACGACTTAATATACTCCTACGCATTCCGTCTTTTCAATTAGCCAAACGTTACGAGATAGATCCCGATACGTTCGCCAGACCTAATCGATCGTTTCCAACGGC